TTTTCATGCTCATGAGCAATGTGCTGCATAACCACCTTGGTGAAACACTTTCCACAAGTGTACAAATTCAGATCATCCAATGTGCTCCCTCAATTCCTCTGTTTCCTAGAAATTGAAGTACCCCTCCTCCAAGCACACCATATGGGGGCATCTGAACCTTCTGACACAGCAATGCAAGGAAATTCAAGTATATGCAAGAGTATTTCACAGCTGATGCACAGATCGGTGATGGTGGTCAGGTCTTGCAATGTTTTCCTTGCAGGCACTGATTGAACAATAGTGGCAGCAGTAATGCACTGGTGCTAAAAACAGCGAAGGAACAGTGGCCATAGGCACTTTGGGGAATCGCCGTACCTTGTAAGACCTTGCAGGCCCTTAAATGCAATTTTGGTCACATGCAGAGCATGTTCTTGTGGTGGCGGCAATGAAGGTGCATGCAATACCATACCCATGTACCTGGAGTACAACCTTTGCGCGGAACCAAGCCTGGCAATGCAGGGAGTGGAAGATGTTATAAATGGAATCAAAGCCGAACCTCTCAGCACCCCTCACCAGCTGCAATCGCACCCGACCACGAATTCTTGGAAATTCAAAAATGCGTGCAATTCCATTCGTAAACCTTCAGCTAACTTCAACTGCCCATATGGCAGTGGGTCGAGCAAAAAGAGACAAAAGCTGGGCAAGCTAGAATCATTCAGTAACGAATTTGATTCCCCACAATTGCTTGGCAAGCTCTGAGACATGGCAGGAGTGACACATCTGTTGCAAAGCAGACTCCAGCCGATCGGCCAGCAGCACCCCCTCCACACTTTAGAGGAAGACTGATAAGACAACGACACTACCTGTCTGATCGCGTGACTAGCCATCATTAACAGCACGACCACCTGCTCACCTGGCTGGGCTCTGCATGCGATCACTATCCTTTGCTATTCTCGTTCGGAGCCCATCTGAACAGAAACAGGCGATGTGTCAGTAGCTTCATCAACAAGGAGCTACAGGGTCCCCACCCTTACAGGCGGAGCTTTGGCTGCTGCAAGTCAAATTTAAAAATTCATTTCCATCCCATGGAACTCATGGGCAGAAAAGATGTTTGGGGCAATGCGATGGGGTTATTAGCAAACGATTTGGTGTTGCCCAGTGATCTCCAGCAACACCAGGCCAGCAGGAATTTTGATGTGCATAGATAGAGGTCATGATGCCTGTGCCCCACCTTTCGCGATTCTAAACAATGTCCTTTGCTCAGGACAAATTGATTGTATCATTCCTGTAGCAGTTCCAACATCATCGGCATCCCCAGCGTATGTAAGCAAGCAGCCTGCTACAAATTGAAGGCTCTCCATGCTGCCGAAGTTATTGCCACGATGATGTAGCAGCTTCAAAGCAGTGACAGAGGGGCTGTGAGGCATTATCCGAGCACCAACGTGATGTACAGCACTTAATATTCAACAATTGTCAGAGTGTTGTGCGCCTGCAACCCCAAACTGGTTGGGCCAGTCTACAATCTAGTGACATTCTGCCATTTACAATAGTGCTGCTGTGCATTGCCTGCAGTGTGGCCTCAAGCATTTCTGCTATTTCAATTATCCCAGTAGATGGATGATCACTCCTGCTTTCCTGCCATTGCCTATGTCCTCATCAATTGCTTCTGTGGGTGTGCCAGCAGCATAGGCAAAATGAGGAAATGCATGCACCACCAAGGTTTCAGCACTCAGCCTGCCCTTGCACTTCAATGCCACCTTCTCTTTCTAGATACAAGGGCAGAGTTTGGCCTGGGCACGAAACATTAATCCAAAGCAATTTGATGCCTTGCATAAACAAGCAGCACAGTAAAGGACACAGCTCACACTTGGGAAGTTTTGAACACTCCTGAAAGTTTGCTAATTCTATGATCTGCAGCCGTGTCAACATTGCTGTTTGGCAGCAATACATGCCCTCGGAACTCTTTTTTGCCCAGGCAAAAACAGCAACGCAGTCATACCATTAGTACTTAGCAATCCCTGCAACACCAACACAAAGAAGCCAGCAGTACCCACCACTATGTTTTTTGGGGACATCTTGAGCCAGTTGTGCACCGATGAGCAAACAGAAAAGATTGTGTCCAATGGGATGACCCCCAGCCCTGGTGGTTTTCCATAGCAGTAGCCTGGCAGTTCGATAATGTTCCCCTCAAAGAGGTTGTAAATGTATTGATCGCGCCAAGCTGGCCCCAGATTCACCACCAAAGAATGGTCAAGCCCCCCTTCGGAGTTTCTCAGAAATTCCGCAGCAGCTCGCAGCTGCTCGTGGTGCCTATGTGTGCAAGAAGCCCATTCTCAGTCGCCAGGTTTCATGGTGCTGAAACTGTCGATTCCCAAAGGACGGGGTACAGCGACCCCTCAGCTTCGCGAATTCGCAGTCCGTGCAATGGGTTGCGACCGTCCCTTGCACTGACAGCGACAAGGCGATGCTGCGAACAAACAGTCCGGGGGTGAAAAGGCCCAAGGCCACATTCCCAGTCACCAACAGACACAGAACACAGTGAAGCACAAACAACTGGCACATTTCGATGACGACTGAAACTGGCAAGCGACGGGATGCCGCGGAGAACTCCCCTGAAGCGGCTGACCCCGTCCGCAACACCGCGACCAACACGACGAAGACATGATTCACAGCCACAGGTCGCGACAGTGGGAGGCGCGACGAAGAATCCAGCAGCGAGAGGAGCACGACCAGCGCCGGGCGGCGCCTGCACCGGCGCAGCACACCCGGCGCGAAGCGGCGGGCCCAACCAGAATCGGCGTCACAGCCCAGCCGAGAAAAGGCGGCGAACAGTGCGGGAAAGGCCACACCACGGCTCTCCCCCGTCCAAGTTCCCCCCAGCGCTCGTCCGGGGCATCCGGCCGCGCGCTCAAGCCCACGCGGCCGGCGGCCCCGCCGGCCGCACCGACGCCCTTGGCGCTGCCCCCCCGCGCGCCCGGAGTTGGCCATTGCCCTCGGGCCCTTCCCGGGCGTGCTGTGCCATGAGCGCGCCGCAGCCCACCTCTGGGAAACCTGGCCTCCCGCCAAGCCCGGACGCCGCCTCTCCTCATCTGCCAATCCACAACGCGCCAGCGCATCAGCAAATCGCCGCCCGCCGATTCCACGGCTAAGAGCAGAGATGCGGGGACATGCACAGTGGCGCAGCGCGGCTCACGGCGGTGCGCGCTGGACGGCCTGCGCGCAGGAGGGGGTGGCGCACCTATCGAAACGGCGTAGATCCGGTCGCACAGGGGCACCACGCCACCGCCGACCGCCGCGGCGCCCTTGCCGAGGCGCCACCACCCCATCCCCCCCTCTCCCCTCCCGCCCCCCTCCCCGCCTCAGAGCCCTCCTCGGCAGCCTTCGATTCCAACCGGTGCCCGCGGCGTCGGGCCTGAAACGGTATGTGTGTGTGTGTGTCTGGATGCGAGCTTCCTCGCCGGGGACCGGTCAAGCGGGGGCCCAAGCACGGCAGCGGGCGTCTCGGTTTGCCACCCCGGCCGATTGCGTCTTCCTCCAATCGCACAGCAGCCTCTACCTGGGCCCTCCGCGCCTTCTCATTCACCAGGCCTCGACCCAGCCTCAGTTTCCGGCCCGCGTGTGTGTCTCGCCCTGGCCTGCGCTCAGGGCGCGGTCGCAAGTACACAGCCGCTGCCGGACGCGGCGTCAACGTTCATCCCAATGAAACGCGGAGCACCGTTCTCCCCGGTGTGGGGTGGACGTCGCCAGGCGCGGGGCGCGGGGCGTAATCGTGCCGCAATGTTCTGGATGCACCCATCCGTTAGTCATGGCATTCGTCCGCGTACTTACTCGTGTGTACCGCGGAAGCGGGAGCGCAACGGCGGCCCCGTTGCGTGATGTTGGCTTTTCAGGTTCACGGATTCTTGCGTGGTTTTCTCAGAGGACAAAAAGAGCCGGAACTGGCGTCCTCGCCTGGGTCTGGACTAAGACGACACAACAAGGGTAGCGGTATATTGTTCTTGTTGTGCTTCTCCTGTATTTCCGTCCTGCATCCCTAGTTTTCCGCGTCCCTTTCCCACTCACTGGGAGGTTTGCAGCCCAGGGCTCACATCCAATCTTTGGCGTCTTTTCTTTTCCTTTTATCCCTTTCTTTCCTCGTTTCAGTAGCAATGGTGGCTTGCTCAGGCCAACCCAGGCAATGCATACAGCATGTACAGTAAATCCCCGTTGTTAGCCAACAACGTAAGGAACGCACCATTGAAACTGTGGTCATGGGTGACGTCACGGACAGCGTACTACACTGTTGATCAACAGCACATGTCTACTAAGAGAAGCACCAGTTTCGGGCTATGCCGACCACTGACAAGCGTTCAAGTGCTGTGCAAAAGCTGGCAGCAAGGGTGCGAACCATGCATGTTGTTCTCAGACTCACCCATATTTACACAAAGGAATCCCCAGTACAATGGTTCCAGGTCGCGAACAAAAGTGCACCACACTGTGTTTCTTGAAATATGCCTTGACAATTGCTGACATCAAGCCATGAGGACCAAATCCCACCCCGTGCTTCCCAGATACTACTCCACGGTGTCAGGTCCAATCACAACACTTTGAGACCCCCACACCACCACCCCCACCCCAGCACACACCAATCCCCAATCAAAGAAACCGATGGGCATTCTGGCTGTCCTGTAAACTGCCAGGTATGCACAACTGGCAAGGCGACAGTCGTAAGTAAAACAAGCTACATATCTAGCACATAACAATCGATCACAATTCATTGTATCTCCCACCCAGGTCGTACCTACATACATGCACACAGTCCTTTCTTCAGATTCCTTTGCCTCAACCCCATTTACCTTCCGATCTCCGAATCCTGCCAGGTGTGGTGATTAAAGCCAATCCAGCATCACAAGTATCAAAACAGCAGTAGGGAGGCAATATTCATCTTGCGGCTTCTCTCATTGTCACCCATGTGGAACCCTGTCCTCCCGCATGCTCACAGACAGTCACATACTGCAGACCCTCCAATCAAAGCCCCCCCCTCAGTAGCGCCCTCGCCTGCCACCGCCACGCCTGCCCAGGGGAATTGTGTTGAAGCCTGTACGGCCAGGACCGGGACCCCGCCCACGGCCCCTACCGAAGCCGTTCCTCCCTCGCCCACGACCACCTGCACTCCACCACAGCACACGCAATCGAACCCAAAGAAAGGGGAATCCACAATATCAGGAACATCGGAAGCAATCAATGTCAAGAGGCACGGAATATGTTGAAAGCAATGGCAACATCACACTGCTTGTCAGTGCATGAAGGACATTCATATATTTGAACATGTGCTTGCCAAAGTGCGGCCAATTTGTTGACATGCAGAGCTCAGCACATCAAAACAATATCACAGTGTGCTCAATATGTGTTAAGAAATACAGTTGGGCTCACCCCTCGAAAGGGGCCAAAGGGGCCCATGGTGGGACGTAGTGTAACACTGCTTACCACCCATGTCAAAGGGCGCAGACGCGAGTTGGCGCAATGGTGGAGGGACGTCCTGCTTCGCTTCGGACACTATTTTGACGATGCTTCGTGCAATGCCAGCGTCCTTGCTTGTGAAAAAAGAGAACGCAGTGCCCTGGGCGCCTGCACGTCCTGTCCTGCCAATTCGGTGGACATAGTCCTCTGCAGTGCCCGGCATGTCATAATTAATCACAAACTTGATGTCCTTGACATCTGGCAGCAGCAAAGTGCACAAGTCTGTGTCAACCACAATAGGCCATCCCTGCAGCAACGTACAACAGCTTGGAACAGAAAAGAACACTGACATCGTGGGTGTAGAACATGCCACCAAGGCCTGGCTTCACGTCAGGAGTCTTGGACTTACTTTTGCAGGTTCAGCATTCGAGTGCCGCTTAGCTCCAGAGCAACAAATGGCAGACAGAAATTAAGGCTACATTTGAGACGATCCAGCTTGCTTTGAACATGGTTAACACTGCTTTGAACAATGTTGACAAGAAAATATTACAAAGAAAACAAGAAAAGAGGAGAATGAAGAGCGAATAGCACAAAATATCAGGATCTTCAACAATTCAACATGCTTTAAACAAGGAACAAATTTCACTGTGACTGTTTCGCCAGCGGCTGGGGCATGATCATATCTGGTGTGGCAGCCAGCAAGCTGTCCAACAAAACCATCCTTCATCGTGCCCATTACGATGCAAACAGCTTTAGCGTTGCAGCTGACTTCCATAACAACAACAACTTCGCACCACATAAGGAGGTAACAAGACAACTGTGGGAGGAGTAGCAAATGGCATGCACACATGTGAATGTAGATGGCAAGCAGCCAATCGATCAACAATCCAAGGGCAGTGCAATTTGACGTCAGGATTCTTGTTGCAATGCGATAGAAAAATGTTCAGAGCCTGTGGGAGATGATGGCTCTTGGTGATTGTCAAAAACATTCAGAGTGTGGGCAGCTTTGTTGCAAAGCAGCATTCCCTGTCAATTCCTGTATTCATATCCCTGTAATATTGGGCAAATGCCCTGGACAGGCTTGATTTCAGCGTTTTGCTCCCATTCACACTCGAAAGATGACTATGGACACTGACAACACAACGATTCTCGCTCAATAGAAGTACTGGTGGGTGGTATGCCAAAATCAACGGCTGCCGGCTGGTATAGTGCAGTGCAGGTTCACAACAGTACTGTGCTCGTATTCAATACCTGAGTGAAGCTTGCCCTGGGCACAAGGGACTTCAGCATGCAAGGTTCAGCGCACAGAGCTCCTAAATCTCAACTGCTTCATGGCTTGGGGAACAATAAGCAAAGACTTTGCCAATTATCTAGTAAAATTTTGGGTGCTGCATACACAAAAAGGCACACACAACCACAACACCATTTATAACAGCATGTGGAGTTCAGGAAAAGTCTCATTATGTCCTTTGCGTACCAAGCCCACGAGCAGCAACATCTGTTGCCAGCACAATGGGATTGCGTCCGGTTCGGAATTCCTGAACACACGCACACAGTGCCCTCAAAGCAATCGAAGACAGTGAGTCGCATTCATAGCCACTTAGCTCCTGCATGTGCCAAACCGCCATACACATCTGTCAATCAATGACATCGGGGTTTTCACAACGTGACAGGCAACAATTGTTTGTTCTGTAGGCCTCTGTACTGATATATTAACAAACCAGACTGTATAGCTGACCTGGCATTCATGTTGCTGTCTGCAAAATGCACAGAACATTAGTGTGCTTCAACCAGTCCCCAGAATCAACTTTGCCAGGCGCTGAAGCAAGTCTGTCATTACCCTCATCACATAGTCCCGCTCATCTTGACCCTTGTCTCCATGAATGCAGAGGGCCTGCCATCCATCAGTCCTCAGCTGACCTGTCACCTGAGAAAATAGATGGATCAAATTTTCAGAATACGGACAAGCTTCAGCTAAGAACACAACTAACTTAGCTGGAAACAAGAAAACATTGGAAAAATGGACAACCATCTGCACACCGCCCCTAATATCGAAGGATGCAAAATACCTGGACTTGCAGGCCATTGTTCTAAGGCTACAAACGTTTCACCCTCTCTTTTGCCATGGTGTCTGAGCAACAGCAACTTGTCTAGAAAATAGAAACCTGGCCGCAAATGGGAACACAGATATTTTATGTTGTAGCTCGCTTTACTAACCCCATTACTGACAACACCAGGGCAGATGCTGTGTAGATACTCACTTCCTTCTTATCCTCTTTTTCCAGGTGGACAAGATTAGTCCCATTTGTGAGACGAGTACCAAGGGATTATAGCTGTGGACATGCTAGAAGTTTATGGGCCCAGAGACAAAATTGACTGTCACACTGCATGAAATAGATAATCAAAGTCGCCCTGCAACGGGTCTGAACAGCAGAATCCCATTGCAGCTAAATGTTGGATCCAGATGGCAATCCACCTCTGCAAATTGGAGTATAAAATTCGGAATCCAACCTAAACAAAAATACGCACCTCGTCGCACTTCCTTTTTGTCTTGAAGAAAATCAATATCTTGCTTGTGCCATCGTATATCTGCTCCAAGAGCTCACACAGCTTTCCATGCTTTTCATATTCTTGGACCATCAACACGATTTGCGTGATCGAGTGGTTAGCCTTTAGATCCTGGCAGCCAATGGTCACCTGCAAACACGAAAAGAGTCATCCACCAATCAACAGCGCTACTTGGGTCTTAATTCCCGTTTCAATTCTTTCTTCGGGGTCAACTGGACCATTCGAGCCATTTATTGGGGATTATCGTGCATCTGGCTCAGTGAGCACACAAAAACTGTATAGGGTGCCAGGTATTCTGTCCAAACAAGACTTCACACGCAGCAGACTCCCCCCTCCCTGTTAGATATGCGTTTCGCTGTCTTCTTCCGCTCTCCCTGTGTCAGTTTTCACCTTTGTCAGCAATGGCTTAAATATCACTCACACGGGGAAGGCCCACACGAATCCTAATAGAAGGGTTGCCCCTAAGTATGACTTCTTGTCTAAAGCACATCAAGCATGTTGCATGCACACCTGTAGATGTCAGCTGGCTCTAAAGTCCTTCGACATCGCAGCTGTGAGGGTTGAGGGATGTGAGGTAACTATGAAATGGGGTGCACATGCGTTTTTTGGTTAAGGGCATCAAGATATCGATATGTTGTCACCATGGTGCTCAGCAAACTAACGGAATTTTAAACAGTCTTTCAGCATATATGCCTGATTGTTTGTGGATACAGGACCCATCCTATCCCAGCCTCCACAAAAATTAAGAAGCCCAATAGGTTGGTGTGACAATGAGTGCCCTAGAGCAGTTCAATTGCTGCTTCACATGCCCTGACGGGTGGAACTGCACAGAAACAGTGCCCACCTTTGCAGGGTTGACAAGAAAGTCCTTTGCGAGCTGGTCAACCACCCTGGGCCACGTTGCAGACCACAGGAGCACTTGGCGGTTGGGACGGATCTGAACACAGGATGGATACACAAAAGCACTTGGCATTCCTCCAGCTTCAAGTGGTAAACCACACAGGATGCTGACAGAATGGGAGGAACACCAATTATAGAGCCCTCTTTGCCAGTGGCCATCGCCCAACACATCACCTGATCGCTGCAAGGCTATACCTGCCACACACAGTCCATGCATCCATGGCTGGAGCGTGCTTGTTTCTGGAAACGGTCGTAGCTCAATGTGCCAAGCATCGTACCACTCTTTGCTGATCACATATCATGCACCAGGAATCGCGATGCTGCACACCATTCCCAGGTACAGACGCTTGTCTACACCCAAGGGCCCTTGTAGCAACGACTTCCACTCAAAGCCCCTCACCTGGGTGACAACCTTGCGGATCTGTGGCTCAAAGCCCATGTCCAGCATTCGATCTGCCTCATCCAGCACCAAGTACGTCACCCTCCTTAGGTTTGTGCACCCACTCTCAAGCATGTCAATGAGCCGACCAGGGGTTGCAATCACTATTTCAACACCACCCCTCAGTTCCCGGATTTGTGGGCCCCTTGATGCACCCCCATACACACAGGCGACTTTGATGCACTGTTGAGGATCGTTGCATGCCCCAAACTTCCTGGCTTCTTCCTTGATCTGGACAGCCAGCTCTCTTGTAGGTGCGATCACTAGGACAATTGGTCCTTCCCCTGGTTCTGTGTGTGACCACCACAGCACAAGTCGGATCAACTATTCCTCATCAGCCAGTCCATCAATATTTCGATTGTCAATGCTGCCTCTTTGGCACCGCGTGCGCAGTCAAAAAAACAGCGGTCAAGGGCAATGTGTTCATCCCCAGTATTTGATCCTCAGACCAGGGGACTCTAAGCAGGTGTGGTCTTTTCTGCAAAGAATACCCCCAAGCTGCCTGTTTTTCACACTGGTTTCAAGAATCCAAATTAGCCTGATATCAACCTGGTAACAATCACCAGCACTGAAATCACAAGCTGGTTCCACATTTGCCTACCAAGGAAAGACTGGGCCAGTATGTGCACGATCGCTGGCAGTAGAAACGCCAGTGTCTTGCCCGACCCCGTTTCTGCGATTCCGATCAGATCTCGACCCTGCAAAGCCAACGGCCAACCCACTGCCTGGATCGATGTTGGCTCCTCGAACCTGGCCCCTTCGATTGCCCTCTTCACGTGGTCTACAAACACAGAACCACGACTGAGTCAACCCGGCATCACACACACCTCTGGATCCGCGAAAAGGGGCGAAAGAAGCAAGAAAAAGAGTCCATGAAGGGGACATGTCGGCCGCGGGAGCAACTCAGCGCAGCAAATCCACAGAACGAAGCATAAACTAGGGCTGGATCTCAAGGCGTCCGGGCTTCGTATCTGCTTTCAACCAGACCACTCCATCAAGGCCGGCACAGGTCCCCACATCAACGGTGGCCGCTCCGTTCAACGCCGTGAACACCTCCTTCCGCCCAAACAGCGGAAGCAACGGCCGATCAAACAGGTGCCATCTCGTCCCACCGCGCCCCGGCGCCCTCGCACAGCCCCCCACCTGGCCAGTTGGCGCCGTCGAATCTGGTGATCGGAGGCGGCAGCCCCTCCCCCTGCAGGTGTATGTCCCTCTCCTCCAGATACCGCCTAGCCTCCTCCGGCCCCATCGCCCCCGGCGCCACCACCGTCTCCGTGTAAAAGTCCTTCACAAATTCGGCAACTCCGCCAAAGTCCTGGCTGGGCAGCTGCACGCTGTTCAGGTCCCGGTAGGCGTCCCCGTACCCGGGCCCTCCCCACCCCCCACTCCACCCCCCATTGTACCCATTCCCTCCATAGCCGTATCCACCACCGCCACCACCACTGTAGCCACCCCCACCGTTGTATCCATTCCCTCCATAGCCGCCGTACCCACCCCCTCCGTTGCCATACCCGTACCCATACCCCCCAGATCCGGCCCCATACACGCCGCCCCCATACCCACAGCCTCCCCTGCCGCCACCATATCCGTATTGGCCCCCGAATCCGCCGTTAGCGAAATAGTGCCGCCCGTGGCCGTGGGCGGGATCGTCGCCCATGATGGCGACCGGGGTCGCGGGCGTGCGGTCGGCGCGGCGGCGGCCTGCTACCGCCGCGGGATGCGCGCCTCGGCGTGCAGGAGGGCGGGGCGGGGGTGGGGAGGCGGGCCGAAGGCGGGGACCCCGCCGGTTGGGCGCTGGCCCGAGGGTCAGGAACTGGACGCCCGCGGGTCCCCTTGGAGCACAAATAGTACGACAATAGGCTCGAATCCTATTTCTAAGAAGGGCAGCGCAGGGAGTGGTGGCGGCGGGCACAGTTGCTGTACGGTAAGCGGGCTGCGGGGCGCCCGCACGGCTGACCTGGGCGCCTGCGCCGGCGGTGGGCGGGAGACGGGGGACTTTTGATGGGCATCGGGGTTTGCTAACGATGCCCTTTTTGTGATTCCCATACTGCCGCAACGTTTTAGAGTCCAGTTTCCCGCCGAGAAAGACGAAGGAAAACGAAAGCAGGAAAGAGGGAAAGAAGAATGCCAGCAGAAGGACAGAAAAAAGGAAGAACAAAACAAAAATGGCATCTTTGTTGCAACGCGACATTCGCTGGCGGGTCTGCTTCAGCCGGCGCAAAGCTAGGTGGCCTTTTACTTCAGAGTGTCCGCGGGCGCAGGCTTCGAGCAAACGCCCCCGGAACCTGTCACATCTTAATGCACAGGCATGCTCACGATCCCGCCAAAAGAGCTAGCAGGTCAGCGCCCAAATCCCCGCCACTCCGACCTGGCACTTTCCCGTCGGCGTGTGCATGATACCACTGAGCGGCGGAGGCTATGACCGACAAACCTTCCCCTCCATGCAGCCTGATACGTGGCGGTCGCCCCCCTGGCGACCCAGGCGCCTCGCCTCCCGCCCCACCGCCGTCGTCCCCCGTTCCCCCCCCCCCCCCCCCCCCCTCCCCGGGTCCCGTAACCCCTTCCCACCGCCTCACGACCGAAGATACCCTCCTGGGTCCACCTCAAGGCACCCCTCAGATTAGGGCCCCATGTCCCAGCCCCCCTCCCCGCACCCCCCGCTGCTCCGGGCGTCGGCGGCGGTGTACTACGCCGTGGCGTCCTTCTCCGTCATGTTTGTCAACAAGGTGGGGCGGCCCGCCGGCCCTCCCCGGCCCCCGGTGGCAATTTCCCGAGCCCCATGCGCCGCGCATGTCGCGTTTTCGGGTTTCATTAGTATCCGCGAAACAATGACCGCACCTGTCTGCGCACCGGCTCTGTTGACCCACGCCGGGGCCGCGTGTTTCTCGACGGTGCCAGAGCGGCCTCCCCGGCCCGTGCCCGTGGCGGCTGCCTGCCGCCGCGCAGGCCTGGGACGCTTTTGCTGGGCGCTCCCCGGGGAACAGATGTCGGCCATGCCCCGCCGCCGAGCCCGGCAGCGGCATTCCCCGCATGGGGATTGAGATCCCCTTCGTGCGCGGCTCCGTGTCTGGTCGCCCTCCTTGCCCGGCCTTCGCGGGCGGGACCACCCGTGAGTGGCCCCTATTGGCGCTAATGGCCTTCTGGGGCCCGTTGGGCTGCAATCTGCCTGTCTGCCTGCGCAAGGGCTTCTCCAGCACCGCCATTGTCTTGGCCGATGCATTCAGCCGACCAGAGCTGCCATGGGCGAGCGTCTCTGCGATTGGCTGCTCTTATGGCGCTGGTGGCCGCTTGCTGGCTCCCAGGCGTCGTGCAAATCGCTTTTTTGGCTGTCTTAGCGGCCTCTCCTGCATCAGCCCATTTCCATTGGCCCAGGTTCGAGTGGCTGGGGTTTGCCCATAGGCACTGGCCAGGTTCTTCTGTCCAAAGTGTACTGATGTTTGCTCTCGTGTCTTGAAATTTCGAGCCAAGATGGCATGTGTCCTTAATTTGTGCTACGAAACGACACCAAAAGCACCAGTGTGTGTGTTCGCAGTGAGCAACGGTATAGTGAGACTTTTGGCTGCTGCTGCCACTGCAGGCACTGTTCACAAGCCTGGGGTTTCAATACCCCATTGCTGTGGCCTTTCTGCAGATGTCCTTCATGGCCCCGATCTGTTATCTGGTGGCCAAACCAAACCTTAGCTGGAAGATTGCCGCCGGCATTGGACCTCTGGCCATAGTGAATGTGCTGAATGTGGTTGCTGGCCTTATAGGTGAGTACCCTTCCCATGTGTTGCTGGCCGTCGTGCAAGGGACTGCCGTGCTGACAAATGCTCTCAGACAAATGGGTGCTCCCCATCGCTGGGCGACGCCATACAAGACAGCTTGAAATTGCCACATTGCCTTTTCAACACGGGCTTGTAATTTGTGAAATATGTGGCTGTGCAGCATGCCAGTACTCTCCCACCTGTTGCTGCTGTGCAGTGACAGCGGCTGTTCCATGGCTACAGAGTGTTTCCCAAGACCTAGAACTGATGGTGTCAGCTGTGGCCATAATGTGCCTTTCAACACGTCGTGCATTGCACTGAATGACTCATCGCCTGGAATTTCTGAATTCCTAAAAGAACGCGTACACATGTGAATCTACAACTGAATGAAACTCAAGAATGATGCCACAAACACACAAGGCAAGCTTTTAATATGACTGGAAGGTAATGTGGCATTGCCAGATGTATTTCAGTGTGGTTGCTGGCGAGTACAACATTCTATTGTTCTAAGTATTTCCAGGTGTCAACCACACAGAACGCTCATTAGGAAATAGCATTGCCTATCTCTTTGCTGCCTTCTTGTGGACATGTTGCAGCCATTTTATGCACAAAGTCATCTCCAGCTTTGTTGCTCAGTGCCTTGATGGGGATGCCTTGAGTTAATGCTCAGCAAAGGGTGCCAGGTGCCTTCTTCCTGCTAGATGGAAGTGAAGAAGATTGTGATGGTGTGCGATAGTTACAGGAATGCAATGATTTTGGTCATTCTGTTGGTCGTTTTAACGAGCAGTGTATCAACTCGTAGCATAGAAAAGCCACCAGCCATATGTTGTGCAGTCAGTTGCTGCTCACCCACCCAGGGCACATGTGTCTGCTTGCTTCACTGCCCACCCAACAGACAAGAGGGAAGAAGATTGTGGTGCTCGGTGGTGCCCACAGGAAGCCAATGCTTTGGGCCATCTGCTTGCCACCTGCAGCAGACAGTGTATCAACTCATCATGTCATGGAAGTCACCAACCAATGCAGAATCGACTTGATATGTCCTGCTTTCGGTTGTAGCTCCCTCCCCAGGCCACAATTATCTGCTTCCTACACTGCTTACAATGGAGAGCTATACACATGTGCCAAGCAAGCCTGTATTTGAAATCATTCATGACACGGTTCCATGTCTCCGTCCAGCAAAGGGATAATGCCATGCACAGCACAGCATTCCATGTTGAGCATGAATCGCTGGCAGGGATGTGCATCTTCCAATTATGCAGGTAGAGCATGTGCCCAGCCACTAGATCAATGATTGGACTGGAGTATAGTGGGGCATTCTGCTATCGTTCATCAGCTGGCCAGGCAAGCAGTGGCACTCAATTGAACACACAATCTAAAGCATTGTATCTGCTTTCAACTTTGGCACAGGCACGGGGGGCCTGAATGTCCCCATGTTTATAGTCTTGCGACGCTTCACATTGCTGTTGACCTTGGGATTCGAAAGGTGGCTCTACAAGAAGAAACACACCACTACAACACAAGGTGAGGCGAGCAATTGAACATTCTGTGCACAACCCTGGGGCCGCTCTAAATTTCCATCAGCAGCACTGCTGATGTGAAGTTTCTGTGGCGCCCACGGCAAAGGTGTGAGAAACTTCTATGCAGTTTAGGAACCACACAGTTTGCTGCTGGCAGTGGTTTATGAAGTGCCTGGGTGATGTACTGGTATTATCAGGTGAAACATTGGTGCGAAGATGGCATAGGTTTATTGCAAGCGATGAGTGGCACAAACATGTGTTTGAGAAGAAAGCCCGGTATAGCTGGAAGGTTGCAAGAGCAGTGCTTTGCCAGACTTTTTGACATTTGTAGCCAAAAGCAAGCTGTTTGTTTCGAGTGGTTGTGGTTCTGCCTCTTGCCATGGTGCGTAGATATTGCTAGGTCACAGGCCTGGTACATTCAAGGCAGATTCTTTGACAACCAAGCTGGCTGGTGCGATTTTGCATTCCCTACAACTTCTGGCCTGCATCTTGGACATGGGCATTTACCACTGAGCCTTGTGCCTTACAGTATTTCAATGGAGTGGCTGTGTGGCTTTGAAATGGCAGTAACCGTGGCCATTATGATGTCTGGAGCCTTGATAGCCGCCACGACTGACCTTCACATGAACATCAAAGGGTACCTGGCAGTGTTCATCAATGACATTTTCACCGCCCTCTACCTTGTACTCATCAAGAACATGAAGGCAGCAAAGGAGCTCTCTACCACAGGCAGGTGTTGTGGCGATTGCCACTAAGCTGCTCACCGGATCTTTGGATGTTTCATTCCATCACTGTATCGCTGCGGTTACCTGGGCTTTTATGCTTTGCAACGTCAGTGCTGTCAATTCCAGCAGTGCCATCTATTCTTGTTGATGCGTTACCCCTGTGCTTCCACTGCTGCCACTGCCAGTCTTATTCGCCTCTCAGCGTCTCTCAGCCAGATAAGCTATTGTTGTCGGTTGTCCTCCAGGGCTCTTGTTCTACAATAGCAGCCTGTGCTTGCCCCTCCTGGCAGTTGCTGTTGTGGTGTCTGGGGAACTGTCCACATTGCGGGCATATCCACGGCTGGGAGACACAGTGTTCAAGGTGAGCGTGGTGCTTTGTAGTCTCTAGGACAATTGAGTGGCCAAGATGTCCTTTTGACAGCAGTGTTTTTGGAAGGCAAGTGATGCTGTCATATAATGAATTGTCTGCTATTAAGGCACTTCTGACAGTCTTATCTGTTGGAGGTTATGCAACAGTGCCAAAAATATCAGGAAATGTGCCCAACAAGGAGCTGCAACAAGGTCAAGAAGAATACTGAGGTCCAAGCATCAGCGTAGGGATGCTGATGCACCGAACAGAATTGACATTTATGGCAAACTGCGTGGGCAGTGTATTCTCCAGTCATGTGCCACATATTGACACATCAATGTTGCAGACAGAACAACCTGATGTAATGGCAACTTGAGCTCCTTGCTCTTTGCCAAAGATAGGAATGGGCCGGGTAGAATAGGGAAAGACTGAATGATGGGATGAAGGGGCAGTGCGTTGGATCTTCATGTGAATATGGACAACAGCTCACCATCCCCATTCTGCAGATGGAAAGTGTTAAGGAAATGTAGTGCGACCTGTTGTACCCCCCAGTGCAAAATTGTGGGCAGCTTTGGTACACACCTGTGCTTTGGTGCCATCATTCTGACTGAACACCTGCAGGCGTCGTGTTCTAGAGTTTCTGCATTATTTGCATGTTGCATGTTTATCTTCATGCTGCACTGTGTATTCAGGTTGTACTTGCTCTGAGCACGGGCCTGGGGCTGAGCGTCAACCATTCCCAGTTCCTGTGCACGCGTTTGAATGAACCCATCATGACCACCGTGGCCGGCCAAATGAAGAACATAGTGTCAACAATTGTGGGCACATTCGCTTTTGGTGACTTCACCTTTGACTTTGCAAACGCTGCTGGAGTGGTAGTGAGCATGATTGGTGAGTCTTGTGTATAGCCCCAAAACAGTCTGTTGGATGTTTGCTGTCCTGTCCACCCTATCCTCAGTCTTTCCAGCAACACGACAACAGCTTAACGGACTCCTTCAATACCTGGGGTTTGGAAGTCAGGGTCTGACAGGTTGAGAAGAACCGCACAATCCACATTGTTCTGCACTGTGGACAACCAATGCTCTACTTGCTGAGCCAACAATGGGCGTGGTTAGTTGCCGTTTGTTGAGCAGCTGGCAGCACAAAATGTCCCCATTGTGTGGCTGACTTTCTGCAGAGAGCCTCCAGTGCGAACAGCAGAAATTGAATGGACACAATCGGAAATTTGTGGCGATTGGTTGCTTGTGTCACACTGCAGCCCTCATACTTGGCCCAGCACAGAGCAGTTAAGAAGGAGGCAGGGTTTGGATTGTGTTGAACATTGCTGCATTCCTGAGTGCAGAAAACGTTGTCTTACAAACCACATGTCCTGCAATGGGAATCCTCTCCTTTAACAAGGCTTTTGGGACTGTTCACGTGCTGTAAGTGTTGGTGAAGGAGTCATATAAGGACATCTGGAAGCACGCACAGTGGCATTGCGTGGCACAATGAACAAGAGAACATGTGGCCAGGGGCCCTGTATGTGCTGAGTAGGTGGTCAGACAGCTTTCCTTGCTGTGTCTGACTGGAGCGCATGGCCATCGATTGCAGGTGCCGTTTGGTATGCCTTCCACTCCGCACTGATGTCTCAACAAAAACAAGATGTGCTGCCCAAGGTCAGCCAGGAAACAAACGGGTATAGGAATGGAAAACTGAAGAACTACACAAGCCTGGTGAATGGGAACGGCAAATACGAGGCGATCCCGTCCAAATAGCATCAGCAGACGTGCGCTGCCTTCGGGCTGCAAGGGGGTAGTAGATGGTAGACCGTAGTGTATAGATTTTGACTATTTTAGCAAGCAGGGTTGGATTTAGTTGTGTGTCACCGTTCTCAGACGTCCTTCCTGCATAGGCAGCCATGGTGTATGCGTCCATCGCCACTCTGTTGCCTACCTGCTTGCCTTTGTCACCCAGACAAGGACCGCACTGTGGATTCTGGGGGAGCCTGCATCCACAGCAGCACCTTGGCGGTTGGTTGGACTGTGGCTCTGCAAGACGTCCTGGTTCGTTGACTTGAGATCGCAGATGCCATGGGTATTGGTCAGCATTTTGTTGTGCCGTTTGCTCCTGCAGTGAATAATGGTAGTTGTACCATGAGCACCCAGAAGTGGAATGGGGCAGCAGGGCTTGGACCATTTTATGCAGTTCACTTTGCAACGGTCATCTTGCTGGCAGGCTTGCTACCGCTTCTGGGCATCCAGCTCTCTTGCTGGTTGCTGTTGGCATTTATACGATACTTTGGGCCGTTTGGAATTCTGTTGGTCTGCGTGGCGCGCGTGTCGCCTATGCTGCTGTGCGGGGGTGGCTGCTCTGGTCGTGATCTTGCCTGTCGATTGCAGTGACATCCGATGACGTTTCCTGGGAAGCGCTTCAGTGCACAGCTCCCGTGTGCACTGCGCGCGCAAGTCTGAAGGAGAGATGGATGCGTGGGGCAGTGAGGCTCGGGCAAGTGGGAAACATTGGAATAATACCTGCACATGATGCGGCTGGCACACTGTGCCTATTTCGCTACACTAGGCGCTCAGTTTTGCCTTCCTAGCGATAGGTGACTTGTAATTGGTCGATCAAATTGTTGCCGATGCCGGTTGGCCTCTGCGGCGCTGACGTTGTGTAGGTCTGTGGAATGGGCCTCGGGACACAGCGCCTAAACTGCGGAATCATCAGTCATTCACACTACCCGTGCCGGTGTCTTGCTCGCGAAGTCGCTTGTGGAGACTGGTGCAGGGACGGCCTGGGAACGGTCGATCAACAGTTGATATATTGGGAATCCAGACTCTGGGTTAGCACCAGTACTTCTCTCATCTTGTGACTGTATTGCATGCATACATTTATGCACACCCCTTTCATCTACTGTAGAGCCTTCCTTGAGCAGCTGGCCTTGGTTTACAGCACATACAGCAGCGCAAGTCATTGCGCCACCCCAGAGGGTCGCTTGCATGGAAGCCGTCGGGATGGCATGTGGGATATCAGTAGGGTCATCGCGTAACACGTTTTGGTCCCTGGCAGGATGGCGCTTGGGATATGTGTGCTGAACGTGCGGTTGCCACCCTGCGAGTCATCTCCCAAACGCGCATTTCCACTGGTGGAAACGGAAGTCCCTCAATCCCCGAAATACACCAAAGCAATCATAATCCTCACCCATGCTGTCTTGCAGAAAATTTATCGGCAGGAGTATGTTGTCGTTTTTTAGAGATCGATATGTTCACTCAGTTTTCTCTCTTTGCTGATGCTTCAAGCAAATAGTCGAGTTCCCATCCTTTTCCGAGGCAATGATACACCTGCAGAACCGTCCGTGTTTTCCACTCAACTGGTCATCCAAGGCGGTCAACTGAACTGAAATGAAATGCAACACACGGAACGGATACTCCGTACATTCTGGTCGAGCAACATAAAGTAGAGTCTTGCGCAGCATACCTGGTGGCAGAGGCGAGGTTTCGTGTAAAGCAAACTCTCTTATCCTCACAGGGGTCGATTGTCTACAAGCCTATTTCTTTGCAAGTGGAGTTGGAGGCGATCAACGCCTGTCATTCCCAAACTGGGCACGGGGTGTTGCTGCAAATATTGAGTTTGTGGAATTTGCTGATTCCCATACCGTTGTCGCAACTCCTGCCCTGCTGCGTTCCCCGCCAACCTGCGGTGGCTGTACACATTGCAGCTGTTCCATTATGTTCGTTTCGAAAGCATCCTTTCATGGCAAGCCACATCCTGCATTCCCCCACTCTGACCTACACAATCTTCTAACAATTTTCTCCGCCGCTGCCTCTCTAGCTGTGGCAACTCAACAATCCCGTTGCGTTCCCCCAGACACATCTGCCCTCGTTCGGCGCCAGTCAGCACCGCAAAACAATCTCCCAGAAGCTGACGTTACAATGATCACAACATCCAGCTCGAGGCACACGCCTTATAGCGATCTATCTCCTCACGTGATACCTGTACCGGTCCTGTCGCACTCCCAGCACCAGCCACCACGAGGCTTTTCCATTGGGCACTAATCGCGAGACCTATCCCTGAGGGGAACAAGGAAGCGATTTGTAATGCATTGACACATTTAACCGATGAGGATTTGCGCTCAGCCACCCCGACTTGCAAGCTAAACACCGTAGCCCTTGTCATAGCGACGGTCCGTGTAGTGGCATTCCCCGTAGTGCCCGATCTCAAAGCCCACATACTGGTAATTTAAAAAGCGCATCAGGCTCAGGGACCACTCCATGGGGCAGCACAGCTTGTCTTCACGGTATCGCGTGCCTGCAGTCACCGCTTTAGCGCCGCCCAGGGGGTCGCGTCTCCAAGTCTGTTTGCCCATGATGTGCTGAGACTCCGGATAGTTCTGTTTCACCCAGCTTATGTAGCTGGCGTACTCTGAGAAGCCCGTGTCGATGGCGTTGTCATCCAGCGAATCCAATATCCTCCACACCCACCTTGTGGAGGAGGAGTTCATCTGCAGGTATGGCCCATTCGCCGGGCTGTCTGTGAAGTTGGTTCCGCCAATGCTTTTGAGAAAATCGATCATGTACGGCTTGTAGACCACAAGCCAGTGCGTGACAAACGACGTCCCGTCTGCAGCATACTCCAGATTGTGCCCTGGTCCAGCACACGCATTGGGCTGAATCCAAGTGTGCGGAAAGCGCGAAGTCTTAATGGCATGGGGTCACTGCACAGAATTGTGCACTCCGCACGACTGTGCTTTGGGCATCATTTTGCACAGAAAGGAGATAGCGATGACCACACCAAAGCAGCATTTCCAAGCTCCTGTTATGCGAGGTGCGATTGTGTGCTAAAAGTGGAAAATGCACTTTGGGGCGCTGGAATACTGTGGCGTCCACACAGTGAGTGCTGCTGAGAGGGCATCGGAAATCGGCATAACTCGTCCAGCTTCCTCACACTAATAGAATATCACCATATTGTGTGCTCGGCCTACCCCATATGCCTTCTTTTCAAAGGGTAGGGCCCAATGCCAAATACACTCGTGTGGGTTTACTTGGCAGGGATGGGCCAACAGTCCTGAGGCTGGGAGGGAACGAGCCTGTTCATCCCTTTTGAGTTCCAGTTTGCTGTGCATCATGTGCAGTGTTTTGAGATAGAATTTCTTGGCGATTCGTGGTTCAACAGCTGCCTTAGTCCTCCACAAAAAATCCCTCCACACTCTAATCTTTGCCGCTGAAGTACACCGTCCCTCCCACAGGCGAATGAGCCAGAAACAATGCAGCTGTTTAGCAGGATCGTCACAGGGTCACCCTTTTCCCAATGCTTGACTAATGAAGACATATCAAAGGCAACCATCATGGCGGTGAGGCATGTGACTCAAAGGGACTCTATGCAGGGCACCCACCTGTCAGGCGATTGTAGGCAGCCTCGTATGAAGGCATCCTGTACCCTCCTACGTTGACTATGTTCTTCTGGGGCGCACTGCCTGCCTTTCTTGGCGAGTCCTGAGGGTAGAACAAGGACAAAGGTCGCAGCAGGATCATGTCCAAGTCCCAGACAACGTAGTACTGGCTGAGTTCAGGCTTCACCGAGAGGTACTCAGCAGTTCCCAGCTTGAGGAATTGCTGCAAGTACCACCCCGCGAGTAGCCGTCCATAAAACTCCTTGTTCTCATCCACATTGTACCTGTTGTGCAAACACATGGACTTATCATCGTAATTGTGATGGTAACAGCTCTTGCTTCACTTGTGAGGGTCACCAACATCGTGGAATCTGCCACGTGCCGAGGCCGTCACCGAGGCACCAGCAAACATTGCCAACATCATTCCCTTCATTTCGCACTTGATTTTCAACACATTACAATAACACTACATCACAATACACTAAACCTGCGGCGTACAACAGTTAGTATTGACAAAACATTGCGCATAGCACCAAGGCTAGATCGAGTTCGTAGGCGAAACGTCTTTCCAGGGCGATTCTTCGCTGGCATGCAAATTCAGTACATTCAAGACCTTTGGGCAACGAGGCCAACTCGCGAAATATGATGCTCTTGCCTACACAGTGGATCAGTCACATTGATGCTTGGGACATTCCTATGCCCAGCTACATAGACGATGCTGTGTTGCAAGTCAAATGGTGCAGAATTCATGACTTGGCACTGCCTGATGATTGCGAGGGCATGTATGCGATTTATCTCCCTGAATGCTATCAATATGGTTCCCGGATGGCAACTGGCAACTGTCAGCTATCAGGTGTTGCCAGGATGTCCTGAACAACGCTTGGGAGCAGAGTTGGGTTTGGTGAATGCTATGTAATTAAGGAGTTCATCATCATCATCATCATCAACTGGGCAGCAGGAATTGGTTTTTGCATGAGATGAAATACACAGCAATTGCCACAAACAGATGCCCCACAGAGCCAGTCAAGGTGCTGCCAATGCTCTACCAGGCGCACAGCTGCACCCTGGGCATTCTCCGAAACGTTTCTTACAACCAAGCACAATGAAGCAAATGTTAACTGGACTGCCAGGCATCGCACCTTGCTTCCAAGTATTTCCCAACCGTCTCCTTGGACACTCCTGGCAGAATGGTCGCCTCTTGAACACACTGTACATTTTTAGCGAACGTCATGAACACGGCACAGGCATCTGTGGTTGTGGTGATGATGATGATCCGCCTCGGCCCCAGGTACCTTTTGTACAGGGAACAATATTACTGACTATTTGAATGGATTGATGCATCAAGAAATATTGTGCATCAACACAGCAAGACAGCCATAAGCTCCCTGTTTCACCCAGATAAGGAATGTCAACGAACTGCTCCATGGAAATACTGTGCACCTATTGAGGGATTGCACAGCTTGCTTGGCCACGCATGTGGGCTTGACTGCCACACCTGCAGCAAAGCCATACCCACAGCCATCACACTTGCCGAACTCTCACCACTACACTTGTCATCAAGAAAATGATGCACGGACACCTTGGCCCATCAGACTACCAGCAGCACACTAGTTTAAGTGCCTGCTTGGAGTATGTTAACTGCTGAACATCATACACTTGTTTTCGCAGAAGCTGAGCCAGGCATGCTGATACAGAAGTCGTTCTGTTTGATGTAGTGATTAATTAAGAGTATGACAAGGGTTTATATTGGTCTTTGCAAAAGGAAAAAACTCAGAGCTGTCAACTTCAGCAAATTCACATTGTGCTCTGTGCTAGAAAATTTCCACAACGTTCAATTCTGGCTGTATCTTTCAACCAATTTCTTTGCACTTGTAATGCATGCACTGACTTGAAAAAGGGCCAACAGACTCCATTCTGTGGTAGCAATTCCAGGAAAGGTCACCGTGCTGCCAACGTGGGTGTGAAAACTTGTCAGTCAGAAGAATGGCTCACAAAATGAAGCACACAAAGGCTGAAATGTTTGCTGAAGTGTATGGCACCTTGGCCTTTGCAAACTGCTGCATTGGATGCTCTAAACAACACAATCGACTCGCTGTAGAATCTTGTGGTAGAGGCTGAAAAATGCTGACAACACTCTGACGACTCTTTAATCTGGGGGAAGGGCCTCACACATGGGATACAGATTAGGTCGTTGAGCCTCTTTCAACTATTTGCCAGTTCAAGGTGCCACATATTGGGGCCTGCCAGCTGCAGAACATGTGCTGAGTGATGGAGCCAGCCCAAACTCTGCTGCAACTTGGGGATAATAGACCATCCTGTGCTGTGACAACATTGTTTGCACTGAGCGGTGGGAGTTCCAAATGGAGCATAAACAATAGCATTGCCTTCGATTCTGCTGGTTGAGAATTTGCCATACAGAATCATGCGCTGCAGCACCATTCTCCATATTCAGATTGCAATATACCTGCTTCAAGCAGGTTGTGAATGGCTGTCACATTGTCTTACATGGGAAGTGACGGGCATTTTCTGAGGGACACAGGTGCACAGAGCTGAATGGAAGTTGAGTTCCATAGGGAAGGTGACACAATAATCCTAAATGGATTGTAACTGCTGATAAAGCAACAGAAACCTTCCACTGCATCCCCTAAGAATGATGCCGGGCACAAGCTGATCCACCTCAAAGGCTGTTGCCATTATCGCCATCTTTAAGCCATCTACCTAAATCCAATCCAGTTGTGGATCCCTTTTACTGCCTCCCATTCATGTGCTTGATCACCCAATCAGGTGAAACACGTTCTCAACGCTTTTGGTACCATGCAAGTTGGAAATTATCCGGAGTGCACAAGTCCAAGAAGCGACCATGAATGAGTGTGCAGTTGCGCTTGATCACCCAATCAGGTGAAACACGTTCTCAACACTTTTGGTACCATGCAAGTTGGAAATTATCCGGAGTGCACAAGTCCAAGAAGCGACCATGAATGAGTGTGCAGTTGTGCAACCACTTGTATTTCCAGCTCTTAGCATCAGCCGCATGTGACTCCCGCCTACTCGAGTGGCCAGCATTTGCGAAAGGGGGATTGGGCACCATGGCTCACAGTGTCAGCAGCTCTCGCTCTCCCAGAGTCTGTCCCTCCAACTAGATGTTACAAAGTCAACGATGCTCTTTTCAATGCGGTTTCCATGCTGCGTACAGTCTGATCAGCGTGGCTACGCCCCAGCCGCCAAAGAGACCGGAGCGCACACACCGCGATGGGCTTCAAAAGGGATTCCCTTCGAGGTAATGAAAGAAGATGCCCCACGATCAACGTTAGGCCCAATTCCTTCGTTCCAACCACGTTTCCACCCTGGCCCACAGTCCACTGTGCCGTCCTAAAAGGTCATCAGGCACTTGGCGCTCTGCGTCAGCCGTTTGAGCGTTTTCCTTTTGCGGTCTGTGAAAATCGCCTATCGCGAGCAAGGACATGGCAGGGACGTTCCATCCTCGGATAACTGACCCGCGGGGAGCGCACCGCCCAGAGCCAAAGAACCTCGGCTTTGCGCCCAAACCAAAACACTCCCAGAACACGCTGAAACACCACAACCACCACAACCCAACAGCATCGAGTCGCCGGTCCCTAAAACACCGCCAGGTGGCTCCGCCAGCCTCGCGTCGCCCACCGTCAGGAACGTGGGGACACAAGGACCAAATACCGGCCCCCAAGGTTGGCGGTCGTGAGCAGGCCTGCCGTGACGACTACATAGAGCATGAGGCTGCGCTTTGAGCGCCCACTCGACAAGTCCTCCGAAGCAAATACTGAAATGATCGGCGCCCAAGAACCGCGAACGAGAAGGCGAGAAACGTCGGCCGCGCCAATCGGCTTCTGCGCGGGCTCAAGTTACCGCCGGCTACCGCATCCACGCGCCACCCGTGGGATTGGACACTTTGTTCCGTGAGGCCTTGTACCACCTTACGCGTTCCAGCTGCGCGTTGTCATCGCTGACGCGCCCAACACCCCCTGGCGACCTGGTCGGTAGCCGTGTCTGTCACGGCCTGCAAGTTGTCCAGGTGCAAACGCCTGGCGCGCAACATGTCACGTCTCACGTGACAACTGATTCCGCAATCTGGTCCATGGACACCCCGAGGGACGCGCTGGGGCCCCTGCGGTTTCTGCTCTGGACAATCCCAACGTCCCCCGCAGTTAGCCAATGCCGCGTTGACACACCGCCCACACGAAGCGCCCACACTGCCGCCCGCGCCCCGCCCCTTGAGGCGCAAGCGACACATCTAGGCGTCCAGATCCCCGCACCCACCGATCACGTCGATCTCCCGGCTCCCCCCCAGCCAATTTCCCCCCCTCGCATCCAGGCCCGCGTTGGTGTAGAGCAGCAGCGCCACCGCCGCGAACGCGGCGATCAGGAAGATCCGTTGCCAGCCCTGGGGCCACGGCGTTCGGCCCTCCGCGCCCCTGGAGTGCGCGCCGCCGTCCCGGAACAGTCCCTGGCCGGCGCCCCGCGACAGGGGAGGCATGGGCCTGCGCCTGGCGCCAGGTGCGAGGGCACACTTTTCCCTGTCTAGTGTGTATGTTTGTGCCAATTGGTGAGGTGCCAAGCTCAGCCACACACACATCACATAGAGTTTCATACACACATCAGACCTGGGAGCTCCTCTGTATATCTTTTGGTGTGACACATTGGAATTCAAAACAAAAATGCACATCAGACCCCAAGCCGATCGGTAGTCCTTGCTGGAATGGGCAGTTTAGATGGCTCCTGCGGGGTCAGAGCAAAGGAACTCAACTGATACCCGCTCATGGGGTCCTGGACAGTCAACAAAGCCCACAGAGCTCTGCATGCTGTTCACTCTGGGAGGTTGACCCGTTAGGATCAAACGCAGTGAGCCTGCAACAGAACTGCTTCAGCTAATGCTGCCTCACTATTTTCCAAATTTCACACTCCGAACGTCGGAGTCTGCAGCTCTGCTCAGCGAGAATCATTATCATAATGTTCTCTTTTGATTTGCTATTTGTAGCTTTCGTGCAATACAGGCAATTCCGTGCAATGAAAGGCACGTTCTCTATAGTGACCGATAGTCCGTCCATCGAAAATCCCTCACCAAACGAAACGCGGCCATTGCGAGGAGCTGCGAGCGCAGGAAATTGCATGGTCTAGCATATAATTACTAACGATACAACGTGCTCGTGAATACAGCCACTGTTCCCACGCGCCTGCAGTCAGGCAGCTGGCAGCACGAAGTAGCTAGTATGATTCTGGCTCCGGTTTCAGCAAATGACAGAGGTGTTAAATCAGCGACATGATACACAGAAATATGTACCGCCCACAATTGTCAGTGCAGCTACCCGCTTTCCCTGTCTTATGCAAATCCGCGCCTGGCAACGAAGGATCCCTACACCTCAAGCATGGTCACCAACAAAATCGACAGCCAATCTACTCGTAAGCCACTCGCACATGGAAGAAAAGCAAAAAGAAGCTGCCACGGGCTGTAAATTGCAACCCCGCACAGCCTCGCCTGGGAGTGCAAGTCCACGCCCGTCAGTGATTGATAGAACAGCACCACTGTCTGAACACAGCCAAGCACACAGTTGTACACCAGAAGCAAGTGATTGTACATTCTCCACACGGGCCCCTCCCACCGGGAAACACAGAAAAACTCTCGACACTTTCTTCCCTGGTCTACAAAGTGGGCACTCGGTCCTCAGAGCCCAGCACTGTCAAAAGGTTGTAGCCGAAGGGGTCGGCAACATGTTTCGACCAGTTGGCGTAGGGACCCTCGCCTGTAACGGCAGCCTGAACGGCGAAGCCCTGGAGAAACATGACGCCACAGTCAGCGACTCTGCTGCCAAGAGATTCAAAAACGGGCAAAGAATTTGCTGTACTGCAGCAGCCTTCACACCCAGAATGGGTTCTTTTAATTGAAGGCCAAGTTGAAGTCAGCTCGAAACGAGTGGATGGGCACCAGACAGGGGGGCTCCCACGATGCCACCAACAGCTGCTCGATCGGACAGGGATAATGCTGGTCAAGTCTCAGTCCTGACACCATCCCCAACGCCTTCCAACCAGCAGGCACCCTAACTAAGGTTAGGTTGTCTAACAGGGGCGTGGGTTGATACATGCATTGATATTAGGCATAAACCAAGCCATATTTTCATGGCCCAGTCAACCATTCAGAAGCCACAATCCAGAATGGGGTGCTAATTGGGAATAGATCTGTAGGGTGGATCGCCACAATCATATCCTCATTGTGCAGCACAACTGCTGAGCAACTTTCCCTACATTGTGTGCAGCACAACCAGGCCAGCAGCCTATGCTTTGTGCTGGACGATTGATCGAGACAAGCAGGCACAAACAGGAACAGCCGAGTCTGGAATTAATGGAGGTGGTTAGGTTTAACTTAACAATTTTTCACGCTGCAGATGACTGCATTCAATTGGCAAACAGCAAGAGTGACACACAGTATACTCCTGCAAATCAACTCAGTTCGACAAGTCCCCCCCACCTCCACATGCACCCCCCCACACGCAAAACAAATAGAAATCAATGTTGCAAGTCTTGGCACCAAGGACCGATGTAGGCCCTGGGAGAAGGCCAAAGTGCATGATGGCATATCGCCCGTGGTCCAAACTTCCCGCTCACCAAGGTCGCGATCATCGCCAGTCTTCCGTTCTTGATCTCCTTGACCTTCAACTCCTGGAAGATCTCTGGGTCGGACGCCAGGCCGAACTGATCGAAGGGCCCCCCGGGGTAGATGGGGTCCAGATTCTCCAGCTCCTGGGCCTCGTACTTCCCGCCGCCCACGGTGTAACCGGGCGGGCCGCTACCCTGCCTCCTGTAGTTCTCGGCGAAGCCCATGAGCCCGACCTGGATGCCAATCACGAACAGCAGTGGCAGTGGGTTGGCCACGACGGCCCACGGGACGGCGAAGTAGTCCAGCTTGCCAGATCCCGTCAGCATCTCCGCGCCGGTCTCGTACCAGGCGGCGCCTCGGATGTCCGCGCCGTTGGCGGCCAGGCCCTCGGGGATGATCATCCCCGCGGCGCCCAGCATGGCCCACCGGCCGTGCAGGACCTCGTACTCGCGGTACTTCTGCACCTGGGCCACCGACTGGCCGATGCCCAGAGGGTCGTAGCCGTAGCTGCGGCGCAGGCGGGAGGGCAAGGACATCGGACCCGCCACGACGAAAGCAAGGGAAGAACAACGGCAAAGCGATCATCCTTTTGGGGAGGAGCGCGTCGAAAATCGACACCCCGCTCGCCACAGACCGACCGACGCCCAGGGGGCCGCAGCCGGGGCCGCGGGGCAGGCAGCAGGCTGAAGACGTCGGATTCGATGCCACGAAAGGCAAGCCGGGACAATGGCAAGGGGAACCAAATTCTTTGGCGAAACACGTCCACAACTTGGCACACTAATAGCCACCCACTGGCCGAAGCCCAGCGGGTCGTAGCCGTGGCTCCCGGGAACGCGGCACGGGAAGGACGTCAGACTCGCCACCCCGCAACCAGAGCGCGGCGCAATGGCGAGAGGTTCGTTTTCCGTTGGCGAAGCGCGTCAGCAACTGGGCACCCCACTTGTGGACACGAGACGGTGAGACTCTGTTCGGAGCAGTGACAGATGATGTGGGAATCCCCGACGGCAGGGTGGGAACACACGAACACACCGCGCAATATGCATGGTCACCGCGACGCCCAGATCGCGCAAAATATGCGCCATTCGATGCATGGCGCGGTCGGCTGGAGCAACTAAGGGAGATCAAATCGACAGCGCGGCGCGGTGTTCGGGAGACGCTATTGGCCGGGGCCGGGGGTCGCGGCCGACTCACTCTCCAGCGAGGGTGCCGTTGAGGTAGGGCTCCACTTCCGACCGATCGAAGAGGCCGCTGGGCAGGTACAGCTTCCTGGTGGGGCCTGCGCAGCGGAGGGCGATCTCAGCGAAACGCGCGGACGGGTGGCGTAAGGGAGGCCACGGACCGCCGTGGGGCCATCCCTCGCAGGTTGGATACGCGGACTCTCGCAACGACTTTCGCTGGCTGCGAGTTACGGTAACGTCAACAACGCAAGGGCGGAAGGACGCAGCAGGGAGAGCGGAGCGGAGATCCGATCCGAATCGTTGCGTGCGCACACTCACCATACCACTGGGCCAGGTCGCCTGCGCCACCGGCGTCGCCGAACCAGCCCTTCCCGCCGCCCTTCGAGGCCCTCCTCGGGGGTGGCCTGTACGCGGGCTTGGGCGCCGACTTCCTGGGCTTGGGCACGGGCTTGCGGGGCTTTGGGGCGGCCTTTGCGGGCTTGGGCACGGGCTTGCGGGGCTTTGGGGCGGCCTTTGCGGGCTTGGGCACGGGCTTGGCGGGCTGTAGGACGGCCTTTTCGGGATCGGGCACGGGCTTGCCGGGCCTTGGGCCGTTCCTCGCGGCCCTGGCCACAACCTTCTTAGTCTTGGGCCTGGCCGCCACGGCCATCCTGGCCCCCTTCACTCTCACCACGGGCGGGCTGTATACACCGCCGCCGTAGAGCTTCCCCGAAGTCTTTTTTGGTGCGCCAGTTCCGATGGTGCGTTTTCCCTTCCCATCCGCTGCCATCCGCATCTGCAGCACCATTGTTGCCGCAGCTGCCCTTGCACGAAAGCGGGCCGGCGAGGCGAGTAGGGACCCGGGGCGAGGCGGAGGTGGTGGTTCCAAAAGAGAAGCCCCGAATCACAAATGAGAGCCGGGTGTAGTACAGTGGGGCGTCGATCTAGCCTGGAGAGGAGATCCGGGCAAGAGAACTGGGCTCGACACCGGCGACTGATATCTGCTGATCTAATGCCTCAATGGCCCTATTCCTCTGGATTAAATCTCGGGGGGCCTTGCCCACCCGTTTGTAACGATACTTCGTTATGTCAGATTAACAATCGGGACGGTTTGGCGCACTCAGGGCGCTGGCCCAGTCTCAGCACTAAAACACTCAGACACACTCTTTTCCAGGCATCCTTGGAAGTCCTCACACCGGTTTGCCAAATGTCTCTCCTTACATTACAAAATCAAGCCAAATATCGTGGGTAGAGGTGGGCGGGAGCGAAAAACGAGATAGCCACAAGCTCGTTTCGCCAACCTTAAGTCCCAAGTTCCCCGTTTGCCCAGATCACTGTGAACCAGTTTTTCACTGGTGCAAACAGCCGCTCAGTTCGGTTCCTGGGCTTCATAACCAACCGCGCCCGGTTCGCCCAGGCGCTGCCCATAACTTGACCACAACTTTAAGAATAGTGGCAAACTCTTTCTCACTGAGCCTTGGCTTTCCAAGCTTGAGAACCGGCAGCGCCATCCATCTAACTCCAAGTGCGCCAAGTACTAAAACCTTTGCTGGCCATTCAACGGTTCCCACCCAACGGCCCAGTACCCGATTTAAACCTATTCACTGCATTGCATTTCGTAAATCT